AAAAAGATTGGTCTAATAAAAATAACAATAAACAATGCAAGATTGATCTAATAATAATACATACAAATAATAACAATAATACAAGACATTATTATTAGACCAATCTTTTACTATTGTCATTATTTTTAAGAATTTATTATTAGATCAATCTTTTACTGTTTTTTAATTTTTATTATTTGTATTTATTGTTATTAGACCAATCTTTTCTTATTTTTTATTTTTCTTATTTTTCATTTATTATTAGACCAATCATAATAATAATAATTGAGATTGGTTCAATAATATTAATACATAAGAAATAAGGAAAGATTGATCTAATAAAGGGATCACATTTACCCAAAGAACCTTGTCTGCCTATGTCTTTAGACCAACACCCCTGGGAGCTGAGGAGGCATCCAGCCAGGGAGCCACAGGGCCAGTGCAAGACTTTCAGGTCAAAGCCACCCACCCACAGCTGCCCCAGAGCCAGGGACAGGCATCACAGGTCATCCCTCGATGTAGGGCAGCTCTCTGATGGGGCTTGAGGTGTCTTAAGAGTCCAATAGACAAACTGAATGAAAGAAGCTAGGCAGACAAGTTCTTTGGGTAAATGTGGTATCTTTTATTAGACCAACTAAATAGCTGGAAAAAATTGTTCTTTGCAAACATTTGGGCACCAATACTCTTCAGGCACCTGCAGAGTCTGCTGGAGCAGGAGTGCACTTGATCAGGTGTTACAGCATGTGGTGAAGTGAGGTCTTGCTCCTGAAAGCTTGAAAGGATACCATTTTAACAACATATTTACACTTTTATTTTGAATTAATTAATCATTCAGGGAAGACTCCTGTTTTTGCCTATGGCCATCAAAGTGGGCTGCCACTTGGTTGAGGTGACAGCACCATTAGTGCCAGTTGGCAGCCAGCTCCTGATGTTGACATCCATTTAACTGAGGCATGCCTTCAACATGTCCTTGTAGCATTGCCTGTAGTTGCCGTGAGATAAGCTGGGAGTTGAGCACTCGTTTTGGGAGTCAAGAGTCAGGCATCTGCACCCAGTGTCCAGTCCAGCAAAGCTGGCGCTTGAGGATCACCTACTCCATGCTAGTAACATTGGCTTCAGGGACACTGAGCTCATGCACACAGGCACCCCGAGCCCAGCCTGTGCATGGCTGGTCACATATGCAGACTCCCATCATGTATTGATTCCAACAGAGCCCTGAGGAAAGGCACATAAAGCCCCAAAGCTGGTCCAACAGCTCTCCCAGATATACTGCTGGCCCAATAAAAGATGTATCACAAAAATGACTCGTGCATTTCCAAGACCATGACAGCCACAACAACATGCCAACCATGCCATGAAAGAGCTGTAGGGTCAGTTCCATAGCATTTAAATCTGAGGGCCCCAGTCCTGTGACTCACAGGAAGAGACCCACTGTCACTGAAATTTCTCCTACCTGCAAGCAAAGATAAAACTAAGTACAGCAGGAAAAGCAAAAGTTTGATGTTGCCCCCAGCACATCACTTGTTTTGTATCACTGACAGAAAAAGTCACATCACTCATCCACTGCTCAAGGGTTAGTGAAGGCTGGGCATCACTGATCTGAATATGAAAGCGCTCATTACCACAGGGGTGGCCAACCTGCAGCACATGTACCTCAAGTAGCACAGGCAGCCTGTGCCAGTACCAAGGCAGTTCAGGGAGGGGACAGGTAGCACAGCAGCAGAAAGGGTAGAAAGCAAGCAGCAGATCAGTCAAGGAGCACAGGGCAGGGAGCAGGAAGTGGAGCAGCAAGTCAGGCAGGAAGCAAAAAGCAGAGCAGGAGATTGGGCTGAGGAAGGAGATCAGAGTGGCACACCTGCCAAAAAGATTGGCCCTCATAGCACCATGTCCCTATGGGTGACTGATGCAAGCAGGCTTTGCTACTATATCCCCCTAAGTAGCTGTTCAAGAATATTCCCTGATGTTGAGAATTTAAGCCTTGGGGAGAAAAACAGAAGAGTGCACGTTCCTGAACTGTGCTCTGAAAATGCCACTGTGAGTGGGTGGCTTAGCTGACTGGCTTTTATAGGAGAATTCACTGCCTGAGGACCTTCGCAGCCAGCCCTCCAATGCAAAGGTCCGTCTTTTAAATAAGCAAACAAAACAAAATCCCTCTGTCCTGTTCCAGACATTAGGAACAGAACCTCTTTTGCTCTGACCCCAGTACAGCTGCTTGGCTTCTCTTTGCAGCAAGTTGTTCCCTCCACAACTTACTTCCTCCTCCTCACACTTCTGGCAGCTCTTAAATTTCCCAGTAGGACATCCCATCCACCCACCCAAATGCCCCACAGCTGGAATTTCTTTGCAGGGCTGACTGCGATCACCCTGCTACAGCCACCACATTCCTTTATGCAGAGCTTGAAAAAATTCAGACTAGTCATTTTCTATTCTTGAGGCCTGGCCTGCTGTCATTAAAGAGAATGCTAAAAGTCCTATGGATTTCTGTGGGATGAGATTTAGAATATTGGTATAAGAATTATAGTAACAGGTGTACTGTGCACAGAGCATGTATGATCTTATGCATCATTTCTGTCATTTCTTTCTTGGTACTATAAGACAGTAACCTGATGCCATTCAAGAAGTGAATATATAAAACTTGTTAAACTAACTGACCATCAAGTGTTTTACTTATAGTTCCTGTATAGGGTCTTTGCTTTACTTATTCTTAGCAGCAGCAACATAACTAGAGGATGATAAGTGGAGCACAAGCCCTGGGTGCCAACTTAGAGGGGGTACAAGTATGGCTTCCTCCCCCCTAGAAGTCATTGCTGGGGTAGGCACAGCCCTGTGCAGTCTGGCCAAAGGAACCAGGCAAATGCAGCCCCATGCCTAGTAGCATATGTGGGGGGAAAGGAGGCTGGAATGACACCCCCCGGAAAGCTTTCTTGTGGGAGGCATAGCCCTGTATTTTTAAGGGGGGGAGGGTGATCTGGGCACCAGGAGCAGCCCCTGGAGAGCCTGTGCTGCTGCCTCTCTCTCAGCAGCAGCAGACCACCCAAGCTTCAATAGCAGCTGCCACCCAGGTGAAGAAACCTGGAGCAGATAAAACTCTTCTCCCTCTTCCTCACCCCTCCCTTTTGCCCACCTCCTCCTCCAGTGGTCAGTATAATTCCCCCACCCAATATGCACACACCTCTACCCCAAGCACTTAAAGGGCTTGGTTCTTCTCTGTTTTTTGGGTTTCATTTGAGCAGCTTCAACACACAATTCCACAAAAATATATAGTAATGTAATATGTACAGTCCTTTCAGAAACTGCAGTTAGGACAGAAGAGCATGGATTGCTTGTTAGGTAGGGCATTTCCCAGGAGCACAGAAAACGACACTTGATCTGAACTAAAAAACTGAGCAAAACCAAACCAGAGACCCACGCTGGGAAAGTCAGTAGTCTCAGTCTCTGATGGCCAACCTGCAGCCTATGTGCCATAAGTAGCATAGACAGCCTGTATGTGTAGCAAAATCTTAAGCGAGTCCTTTCACCACTAGGCTATTGGCTGTGCAAGGGATAAGAGGGGCAGAGTTTCTCCCTCCCCCTCCCTTTCTCCTGTTAAAGGGTTTGAAAAGTCTTATTTTCATTCCAATACATGGAGGATGTATTTTTTTTCATGTTTTGTGGAACTGGAAATCTATTTCATGCTCAGCTCTGCACACAATGCTTGGCTGCTTGTTTTAACCTATAAGGCCCTATGTGGTTTGGGTCTCGAGTACTTGAAAGCATGGTTTTCTCCCCATGCTGTCTAGCCATAGCTGAGATCAGAAAAGAGTCTTCAAAAAGAAGCTGATAGTGGTAAGGCATTCCCCTGGAGGGATCCTCAGCTTCGGAATTCATCCTCAAGCTTGACTCCAAGGCATGCTGTCTCAATTGCATTTAAAACCAATCCATTTATTGGGATTTCTGGAAAAGAACAAGGGCTGGAGATACATTTGGGGAAACATTTTGGCTTGATTTTTGTGGTCTATGGGTTTAACAACATTGCTAATTTTTTTATTTCACCTTTTGTCTTTTAATCAAAAGCAGCTAGAAGCATAGGGAACTAGGGTTTTTTGTTCATTATTTAAATATGAACAAAATAAAATAACCTGTAATTTCATTAAAATATGTTTAAAACAAGCTCAGATATTGAAATAATTAGAGGTAAGCTTTTGAAAATCTAGTGCAAATGCACCAAAGAAGATGGAATTTGATAAGTAACTTTAATGTATAAAATGTCTTCTGTTTGATTATCATTTCACTAACATGCACAGTGAAAGTTCTGGACATAGGCAAATAAGATGTATTTTCCAAAAAAGAGAAAAGAGTTTGGTGCTGTAGAACTAAACATTTCTATCCACTTGCAACACATTTATCAACACATTCTAAGT